ACGGAACTGCATAGAGATGCATTGCTTAGGGGCTTAGGGGAAGTACTACATCAAAACTTTACAGATAAGGCATGTAGCGTGTAACGAATGATTTCTGTGGTGAGTTCTAGGATCTGTCCTTGCGGGTGCACACTATAGGGTCCGGCTCTCGCTCGTCTGCTTTGGGGGTGGAGGTCTTGCTTAGACAAATCCGCACACTAGCTACATATTATTATTTTTAAGACCAGAATTGAGTGTGCTGACGAAAATAAATGCGAGATACCAAAACCAGAAGAGAAATAGATAAAATTCAGAAAAACAAGAGATAGAAAAGATCGAGAAAGTTAGAAACAGCGATGCCACAGATGTTGTCGTGGTCGCGAAATGCCCACCCAACCTATGATCACCATTCTTTAGAGCTAGGCTCCGGTGACCCCTAATACCCTACGATTTTGGAAGCATCAGCAGAGTTAAGAGAGTGAACTCCTCAAGGTTCATTTTAAATACAATTTAATTAATAGAAGTACAAGAATTAATACATAGTTTTGGTCTTTCTACCTCGACTATACTCATATTTATTATTCGCTAACCGGTAGATAATACAATTTTTAGGTAAATATAATAAGTTATATAAAGGCAGTACAAAATAATAAATAGGTACTTAAATAATTAAATGATGTTATCTATATAATAATAAAGTAGTTATGATGTTATGTATATTTAAAAAGATAAAAAGAAATAAGTTAATCAGATATTGTACTTCATGAATAGAAAATGTTATTCAAGTATGATAATAGGTTTTCAAATTTCATTGCTTTAAATTTATTTTTGACTTCACTTATTCATTTTCACTCTGTTTTAATATTTTTCTAATTTAATTTCCTAGTTTAGTGAGGCTATCGGCACAGGGTTCTTTTAAATTCACATGTTCTTTCAAGTAGATTATTTAAATTCATTTCATAGGGTATTTAGTAATTAGATATAAATGGAAAAGATATAAATTCAACAAGAAACTCACAGCATATACGTTGGTTCCAGCGGCGAAAGATCGATCTCCCGGGCAGGGTGCTGTAAAGGGTGAAATTGTGGTTCGCCATGGGCGACAAAACTATTCTATAAAATCTTTTACTTGGAACCCTTTTGGGCATACATAATTTCTTTACTGAGAGCCGACAGCGATATTTTCACTGAACCACAATTTAAAATTTTATATTCACTATTATTTCTCTGATTAGTTGGCATATTTCTAATTATATTTAAATTTACAAAAAAAAATTTAATTTTTCGCTTTGAGGGAATTTTCGAAACAAAATCGATGCATAAATTACTCTACACATGATAAATTAAATTTTAAATTTAATTTTATTTAATTTAAATATTAAGTTTTCGACTGATTCATTTAGAGTTTAGAAAATATCACTAAAATGTTGACTTTAACGGGGTGTCACTATTTTTATTTCATTAACTTTTATTTACTTTAACACGTTTCAAAACTTTCAAATTTTTTTTATTATCAATTTTCACTCAAAAAAACCACGGCGGTAGCGAGGCTCAAAGGGTTCCGGGTTATGTATTCCATTTCGTATCCATATTCTGCTATACAATATTTGCTGCTGCCGTGGGAAGAGAGGGTTAAACATCTCTCCAAATCACTTCTTTTAATGACGCATTCTTGATTTTAATTCCGTTTCAAATTCCTCAATTTTCTATCCGATTTAATTTGGGGCACGATATAAAAATCATGCCCCCACTGTCTTGAAGGGGTGCTCCCACAGATGCCAATATTGATGGCCACGTGAGAAATATATATATTATATATCTAAAGAAAATCTGGGGTTAGAAGTGATAAAAAAAAATCTACTTTTATCACTTTCATCTCAATAACTTTGCAAAATATAACACCAAAATAATATTCAGCTAGACTCGCTGCACTTAATCCTTTTATTATTTCCACGATATTTCAATATTTAATATTTTTAAATAAAACTCTGTTGGACTAAGGCAAAGGCACGTCTGGTTATCTCGGATGTTAATCAAAAAAGAACCTTGCCAAATATAGGTCCCGTTAGGCAGTGGCGTAGCGTGCCTTGTCGGGGCCCCGTATAAAAATTTTTTGGAGGCCCTCATATATGGAGGTAAAGATTTTTTACAAAAGAAAAAAAAAATATTGTGAGAAGAAATATTTATTTATCACATTATTTACCCATTTTACAAATAACAAGAAAGGAAGCTAGCTTCGGCAAGCCGATGCTTATATACCCTTGCAGTCATCAAATATGTCGAACAAAATACATAAATACTAAACAACATCGAAGCTAAGACGACTTTTCTATTCATTTTCCATATTTTCGACTATAGATCTTATGAGAGCTATATGATATAGTTTTCCGATTTTGAGCAAATTTAATTCTTAATTCAAGAGTCGTTAGAAAACTTTATATTCCAAAAATCATGCTTATCTGATTAAAAACAACGATATTATAATTTTATTTCCGTTATTTCTATATAGATTTTTCGATCTTTCCTATGGCAGCTAAGATATAGTTGTCTGATTTTTATGAAACTTTTTTCTAAATTTAAGGGCTGTTAAAAAACTGGATATTCAAAAAATCATGCTCGTGGGATAAAAAACAACGGTGTTATCAATTTATTTCCATTAATTCTATATATATTTTTCGATCTCTCCTATGGCAGCTATATGATACAGTTATCCGATTTTGATCAAAGACTACTTCTGTGCGCTCCTGCGTATTCCGATTCTGCTCGTGATGCTGATCAAGAATATATGTATATTGTTTATGGGGTCTGTGCGTTGCAAACTTCTGACTGGAATTATAATACCCTTTCGCTCTGCAAGGGTATAAAAATCAAATTTTAAATATTCACTCTTACACACTTTGTAATTGATACGACAAATACGGCGCACAGTGGTCGGTCCCATAGGCCAAAAATCAAAAAATCAATTTTGGAATTTTGATTTCAAGTTTGGCGCATCTGTTTATCAATAGAACAAGGCTTTAAAAGCAAGTATTAGTTTTGTCTTGCTCCACATATGTATTTGCGGAGAAATTGGGGCGCAAAGTGAGCGCGCAAACCCAGCGATCAACTGAAAGCGTGCACATGTCTTTTGAAAACGTTAAGTTAATAATTTAAAAAAAATATAAAACCATCGTTTAATATCCGAAAGTGAAATGAATATTAAAGTTGAAGGTTTGTAGATTGTGTTTTTATAATTTTTATTAATTTTGCATGCTATATGTGACTGTGACAATAATTGTTTATCCACCGCAATTTTACAAGTTCTACAGAACTAAACATCAATATTCTGCAAAGGTAAAAGTTGTGTTCCCAAAACTGCTCAATAATGAAATTTTTTTTTAAATATTAATCAATATTTAATTAGTATTATCTGTGAAAATCAGCTGCGAATAGCTGCGAATCCGTTCAGAATCTATTAAAGAAGACGAGTAACTCGTTCCTTTTTCATCAGTTTTTGATTTTCTAGAGTAACCATTTCTAATATATATTAAAAAATTTATTTTTTATTACTTTTATTTTACTTTAAATTTATGTTAATCATCGTTTTTTGTTATCTTTTGTTAATTTTTTAACCAAAATTAAGTGTTTAATAAATAAAATTTTTGTCAGTTACGCTTAATAAAAAGTGTAGTATGCATTTGGGAGTCAAATTTTGAACATTTTATGGTAAACACGATGGTAGCGGATATATTTGGCTTTAATGGTGCTGACCAGCGTTGCCAGTTTTTTTTTTTTGCCAAGTCGGGACTTAGGAACTTTTTTAGTAAAAAAAGCGGGACTCTTACGTCGAAAGCGGGACATAATAAAAAACGTATAATATATAACCAGAAGTTTTTAAAATATTTACTGCTTCACTGCACTAAAACAGACGGTAATCGTTATTCTTTCGTTGATAATCGTACGTTTTCGTAAAACAGAAAATTATAAGCAAATGAAAATAAGGAAAGAGCGAAGAGAAAGAGAGGAAGTCGCAGTCGCACGCGCCTCTCTCACTCCTGAGCGCTTCATCAGCCCGCACGTTCGAATTATCATTAAAAAGCGGGACTGAACCTGTCCCGCGCGGGACATTTAATTTTAATTTAAAAATCGGGACGTCCCGCCAAAATCGGGACGTCTGGCAACGCTGGTGCTGACACTTAAATTATAACATTCATAAGCTATTATATACCTACAAAAAAATTTCAACTCGATATTCCTACTGGAAGTATTTTTGGCCGCCTGCTCAATACAAGACCGACCACTGTGCGGCGGTAGCTACGCCCTTGGTGTTAGGCTAGGGTATGGTCGGAAGTTCGCCTCAGATGATTACACCCGATGTCTAACTCGAGCTTCCCACTGCATCTCTGTTACAGCTGATTCACCAAACATATCGACGCATTTCCGCGAATTGTTGGAAAATCAAATTTTACAGGAGAAGCTTTTTCTTTATTTTTGTATTTCGGTATTTTTGTGGGATTGCAGTATTTCCATGCATATGAAAAAAAATTTGTATGGACATACGATAATTTCGCGCGCACATTGAAAAGCATTGTAACATACGATAAAATTTAAACTAAATTTTTATCGGAACTATAGGGCTTTCAGTTATAATATTTCACAGGGTAGTGAGACATTAGGTGCCTAACAATTTTGCATTAAAATCTCAATTTCGAAAAAAAAAGCGACATACGATACTTTCGCGGAAATGCGTCGATATGTGTAAATAGCTAAGACAATAAGCCGAACTTAGAAATTTTTTAAAGCATGCTTCTAGGCCGAACTAAACAATCTGGTCGCTACAGGCGCCGTTACAGTCTTGTGACATCTTAGCGCATAGTTTTACATCCTCTACATCAACGCCCACCTGCCTTTTATTGCGTTTTAATTCTGTTGTCAAGTGAAAATTACTTGAGGTGTAACCAATATCTAATTGTTGATACCCTCAACTAAATTGTTTTTTTTTTGGTTATAATAAATTAAAAAATGATTAATTTTCCATACAGGCAAAGTGATATAGGCCTGCGGCGCTACCAGACCAAGGATCTTTTTTTACATTTGCTTATTCCCACATTGACAGTTATTTTCACGGTTGTTCAGCTACATTATTTTCACCGGCGTTTTATGGAGACAGTGCGACGTCCAAGACCTACTGAAGAAAAGAATCTTGATTCCTTTTCGGCATTTAATAGAAATACTCAAGCGAAAGCATTAGATACACATAAGCAGTCATGGAAAATATTTTTTTGTGCTGGCTACGAAAAAATACGCACTAAAAGTCGACGATTGTTTACACCAGGGAAACTTATCGCTTGGGGATTTTTGGAAATGCATATGATCAAGGCAGTTATTCTGGCCTGCTTTTGTTGTGCGATATCTGAAATTTGTTTATTAAATTTATTTTTGGTACTCTTTTCTTTATTTAGCGTAAGCGTAAATCGATTCCTAAGGAGGGTTATTTTTAGAGCAGTTACATTTTGGATTTCCGTTTTGGTGCTTATGAAAATGATATATCAAATAAAGTATCTGGATCATAACCTTTACAACTACAACTGTGTAAAAATACTTATTCTTTAAATACTTAGACCCTAATTAAATTAATAATTTTTAGAAAAACTTGACCGTCAATTTTGCGGAATGGATGGGTTTACGGAAAACTGGAAAAGTGTTTGGTGTTCACTTACGCTATATATCTCCGTATATTGTTTATATGATTATTACATCATTGCATGCAGTTGTTAAGCTACGCGACCATTTAATAAGATACTCTATGTATGAGCAAAAGCACAGGAAAGTTTTGTTTCCAAACATAACGAGACGAGACGCCGAACGTGATTTCCCAGGACTATTCAAGTATCTAATAAATTATGGTTTTTTTAAATTTGGGTTTGAAATAACTCTGATTGGACTCGTATCAACGATAGCTCATAGACGCGATTTGCTAGCGTTAACCTATGTAATATGGCTAATTTTACTGTTGTTTCTGAGTCGAGTTCAGTGTTCACAAATTTGGGAGATTTTTCAACTTTATTTTGTTTTATCCATTTTTATGCAATATTTATATCTTCTAAATTTCCCTCCTAATATTTGCGGTGGTATGTATTAAAAAAGAACAAAATATCAAAAACAAAAGCGTTTTTTTATCATACGAATACTTTACAGATATTTCTCTCTGGGGTGCGACTGTTGATTCCAACAAACACATTTTTAAGACAAATGTTATGATAGATTTTATAATTCTCTTGCTTATTTCACGACAGCGAAAATCATTCAAAGCAGAAATGAGGCATATTAAAGATTTATCCTACCCTGGTGGCGATAATATGAACGTTGTTTATAATATATCTAAGCTTGGCCACGCCTACTTTGAAAATCCTACTCACGATTTCTGTTCTTACGTTCGAAACTACGCTGATGTTTTCAAAACTGCAATATTTTGCTGTTTTTTTTGGATTACACTTGCTATAGTATTTATGGGAGGAGTTTGCAGTATGGATATTCTTTCATTGGGCTATATAATATTTGCGTTGGTTTTTTTATTACAGGGCTCCGAAATCTACTTACAAAATATTCATTACATTATTTGCCGTTGGAACTGCCTTATTGCTTTTAATATTTTAAATATTATTGTAAAAGTTGTTATAATTATACTTGAAGACCTGGTATTTACTGTTAAAGAGCCGATGTTAAGTGCTATTTTAAATGTAATGCACCAAAGAGCATTAATTGAAACGGAAAATGGTAAAAAAGTAAAAGATATTAATGACTTTTCAAGGAATTATTACTATGGACCAAGCAATATGATTTTCAACAATACATTAGTCTGGCATGCTATTATTTTTTCTTTTGTTATTTTTCAACATCGAATTTTCCATTCATATTATTTTTGCCACGTTATCATGGATACGCACGCAAACTCAATTTTGGCTTCCAGGTATGTAATTTTTAAAGCATAAGCAATTAACTACAATCAATATGCATAATATATGTATGTATGAATATTCTAAAGTTTACTAGTGCCTGTTGAAAAAATAACTGCCCGCGCATTTGGTGCTTTAGGCTTATTGAAAAATGTAGTGTATCGAAGTTTCTTGAGCAGTTTAAGAAGGGAGATCGCAGAAACCACTCCATATCTCACTATTAAATAGCTTACTTGTGTGGGCAAAAAGTAAAGTAGACCTTTTTTGTGAAATAAAAAAATTCTGATTTATGCTCCCCTCCCGACAAAATACACTTATGTATGTCAACGTTTTTTCAAATCCTTGAAATATGCCAAATAATCCTTTTTGGACTTTTCGGGAATAGCCTTCAGCGCCTTTTCTGATAGAGCTTTTATCATCTCAGTCGATTCAAATCGAGTTCCCCGAAGTGGTCTGTTGAGTGTTGGGAAGAGTGTCACCTCTCTAACATAACGAGAAAAAATATTAATTGTGCCTAGAAAAATCGGTAAACGTCAGCTTTGTCTGTCCTTAGTCCACACTGCCCAGCAAGTGTAGAATTTCATAGTGTTTCGTACTCATTGTCATTAAAGATTTAGTGATTAATTGGCTTTTGCCATGGATAAGTAGGTAGTATATAAATAAGTTGATATTGTGTGATTTTAAAGCGGTTTTTGTGTGTGATAGAGCACCTTGCAAGAATCTTATATCAAAAACACATATAGCGTGAGTTACTGCCTCATCACCCTGAAAAGCAACAATAAATTACACGCTACACACAATTTTTGTGGTTTTGATTTATGATTTCCAAGTGAATTAAGTTCTTTTTTCTCATGTTCTGCAGTGCTTAAAAATAAAAAAGTTTTTGGATTTAGAGTTTACTATATCAAGACGATCCAAAATTGGTCGGCAAACGCGACATGCACGTTCGAATTCGGCTAAACGGTCAAGGGAAGACTATGAGCAAAGCGAGTAACGAAACTAATTAAATCGAGTACGCACAGCAAAATCAAGTTCATCAATCCGACCTCAACCAATCAGTGCCAATTTGCAAGGCGTTGCATTTGCATATAACTCCGTACTCGATTATTGTTCACTTGCAAAAATTAGCATATAAGAAATGGACTTGATTTGCCGTCATTGTCACGCACTTAAGTTCAAGAATAAATCGACAGGAATGTTCTGCGCAATTGGCAAGGTTAGATTGCCTGCTTTGCAACTTCCCCCAGAGCCAATGCGCTGGTTCCACACCTGAGTCCAAACACTTCTTAACAAATATCCAGTCATTTAAATGATGCTTTCAAATAATGTATTTTGGGGCGACTTATATAAAAAGAACATCTTCATGCCTACGTTTAAGGTAATTTTGTCATTTTATTAATACAGTAGAATCCGGTTATAACGACTTTCAAGGGACCGACGAGTTTTCGTCGTTATACCCGGAAAACGCACTAAACAAAAGGAACAAAAAAACATTTTTTTTTGTTCATTTTATGGTTGCTATGTTCCTAATATGTTTTTAAAATAAATCAAATTAATTTATTGATTAAAACGAAAAATATTATAAATTTAATTTAAAAACATTGGTTTTTCAAAATACTGTAAACTGAATGAGCTTATTATTGCGCATTTTGTATTTGGCGAATTTACGCATTCAATTTTAATCGGAAAAGAACAGAAAAAACTAGAAATATAAAGGGACATCTCATGGAATAGGCTATGAGGTCTGCACACGCAGTGTGACGTCATTGCACTTCGACTCTCTCTCTCTCTCTCTCTCGCAGCAGCGTTGTTAAGGCGACAGGTAAAACTGACAGAGAGTAGTCACAGTGCAAGATCTATGCAAGCCTTTACTATCGCGGAAGACACTTCTGAGTGATTTCTGAGATAAAAGTATACTAAGCAAAAGGAAGAAAAAACATTTTTTTGTTTATTTATGGATGCCGTCTTCGTAATAGGTACTTAAAATAAATCAAAATAGTTTTTTAATTAAAACGAAAAATTTAATTCAAAATCATGGGTTTCTCATAATACTAAAAACTGAGTGAGCTTATTATTGCATATTTTGCATTTGCTGAATTTACGCTTTTAGTTTTTCTCGGAAAAAAGGAGAAAAAACTAGAAATATAACGGGACATCTCATGGAATAGGCTATAAGGTCTGCACACGCAGTGTGACGTCGGCATTGCACTTCGACTCTCTCTCTCGCAGCAGCGTATTTCAGGCGACAGCTAAAACTAACAGAGAGTAGTGACAGTGTAAGATCCTTCGTGTCGCTGCTACGCACACAAGCAAAGGTGCCGATCACTAATAAATACATACATTTTTAACAGCGTGTTTTGATGCTTAAATTTGGCACTATAGCAATGTATTTTTTTTCTGCACGACGCAATATCCGGTGATTTTTCAATTTTCTTGAAAAATTTCGTTCGTATAAGCGGTTTATCGCTAAAAGCGGAAACGCTCTAAGCGGAGGCCCTTTCATATAAGTTTATATGGGGACCAACTAAACCATCGAGTTTTCGTCGCACAACCCGGACGGACACTATAAGCGGAGTCTTTATGTATTTGTTCTTGTAAAATGTGTTATATCGTCTTTCTATCTTCCAGAAGTGACTAAGAAGTGGCTTCTAGGCGATAGATGTGTATTTTGTTTTTGTAATATGTGTTCTATCGTCTTTCTATCTTTCAGAAGTGACTAAGAAGTGTCTTCTAGACGATAAAAAACTCTTTTTTTTCCAAAAATTTCTATCGTCTTTCTATCTTCCAGAAGTGTCTAAGAAGTGACTTCTAGGCGATAGATGTGTATTTTGTTTTTATAAAATGTGTTCTATCGCCTTTCTATCTTCCAGAAGTGACTAAGTCACTAAGACACTAGAAGTGTCTTCTAGGCGATAGGGGATAAATTTATCTTCCAAAGGCTTGCAGGGATCCTTCGTGTCGCTGCTACGCATACAAGTAAGGGTGCCGATCATTGATAAATACATACATTTCTAATAGCTTGTTTTTGTGCTTACCCTGCTAGCCTTTGGAAGACGCCTTTGGAAGTGACGCAGAAGTCACTTCTGGAAGTGTCGCGAACGTCTCTTCTGGGGGGTGAAGCAGAAGTGTCACAGTTCTTCCCGACGGACGTCACTTCCGCGATTCGAAAGCGATAGTCGCGGACGATAGTTTTATCTTCCAGAAGTCACTCAGAAGTGTCTTCCGCGATAGTAAAGGCTTGCAGGGTAATTTTGGCACCATTGCAATGTATTTTTTTTCGGCACGACGCAATATCCGGTTGCAATTTTTAGTTTTATTGAAAAATTTTGTTCGTATAAGCGGTTTGTTGCTAAAAGCGGAAACGCACTAAGCGGAGGCTCTTTCATATAAGTTTGTATGGGGACCAACCAAACCCTCGAGTTTTCGTCGCAAAACCCGGAAAGACACTATAAGCGAAGTCGTTATAATAGGATTCTACTGTACATTTAAAGTTAATTTTTTTTTCTTTGGAATTTGAATATATATATATATATATTTTTTTTTTTTTTGAGCTTTGACTTTATTTATTGAATCTTCTCTTGAAGAGACTTACAATAAGAATTCAGATCTTAACCTATACTATGTATTATTTATGTATATTATTTATTATTATTTATTTGTTATATTATGATTATAAATTGGTCGACAGCCCACAATTGGGCAGGAGTGGGCGGTCGTTGCGCTGTAGACGAGAGTGGCTCCTGAGCCGCCTGAGCTGCCTGGCTAGTTGGTTTGGATGTATTGATAATCTATTTTCGTATTTCAAAACTTTACTATCAATTTCTTCTTTGACGGGTTTTATATCCAGGTCCCTATGGATGTTTGCATTGCGAATATACCAGGGGGCCCCCGTTATTGTCCGCAGTATCTTTGACTGCACACGTTGGATGATTTCTATGTTGCTGCTGCTTGCGTTCCCCCAAAGTTCAGACCCGTATGTCCAGGTTGGCTTTAGACATGAGTTATATAGTAGAACTTTGTATTACAGCGGAAGAGGTGAGCGAGCGTTGATGAGCCAGTGGAAACTATTGGCCTTGAGTTTTAGGGAGGTCTTCTTCGCTTCAATATGCCTTCTCGAGGTGAGCCGCCTGTCTAAGTGGATGCCCAGGTAGGTGACTTCGTTGACTTGGGGGATTTGTTTGTTGTTTAGGGACAGTGGTGGGCAGGTTTCCCGATTGAGTGTAAACGTAACGTGCTTGCACTTTTGTTCGTTGACTTGTATGCGCCAATCTGCAAACCATTTTCCACGTCGGTCAGATGGTTTTTTAAGTGAGCTGTTGCTGTTTTTGGATATTTTGAGCGACTGATTATAGCTGTGGGATGGGATGGCTTTCATTCGTACAGAGTAAAGTTTTCTGATCGCGGTCAACTTGGTGGCCGCCAGTGCGATCTCTGTTTTCGAATGATTGCAAGTTGACACACAGCCTCCTCGTGGCACCTCCTGGGTAGCTATCTTAACATCCGCTAGATAGTGAGCTAATGTGTGCAGCAATGTCACCCGGACGTTAAACGGTTGAGCGCAGGGTTTGGAACCCGCCTCGTAAAAAAAGAAGCCCAGTGAAGACCAAAGCGAAAGCCTCGGATAGGATCCCCTCTTATGTTGACGACCACCGCAAAACGAAAAAGTACTACGATCTTTGGTCCCGTTCGGATTGGGGACGACTTTCGCATTCGGATGAACCACGTGCTGTACGAGTTGTACGACGACGTGGACGTGGTCCGGCGCATCACGATACAACGTCTGCGTTGGCTCGGCCACGTTGTGCGTATGGATTAAGAATCACCAGCTCAGAAGGTGTTTGAAGCGAAGGTCGACTACGGGCGACGACGAAGGAGACGACCAAAGCTCCGATGGAAGGACCAAGTGGAGGAGAACTTGACTGCACTGGGTATTTCCGATTGGAGGAGTCGCGCGAGGAGCAGAGGCGCCTGGGGGGAGACACTGAGGTCGGCCAAAACCCGAATCGAGAAGAAG